TGACTCAAGCAGTCTCTCATTGAATATACACTGAAGAAAGAAAAAAAAAAAAAGAAGAACTATAATTTAGGTATTACTTCCCCCGTTTTAAAGAGATGAACTAAGGATCACAGAACTTGAATTATTTTACCCAGATCCATGGAGCAGTAAGTAAATGAGAGCATTGGAATTTGACACCAAGGTTTTCTGGCTCCAAAGTCCAGGCTCTTCTCTCAGACTTGGAGGTTGTGTGTCAAGTCACAGAAATGGAGACAGCAATTACCTCAGGAGGGCATGCTCCGGGTGGAGGACTGTAGACAATTATCAGCACATTCAAGATTGGGGATAGAGAGAGTAATCGAAAGGCCCTCAGCTACTCATACCAAGGGCTTCCTATGTGGCGGGCCCTGGGCTAAGCACTTTCGCACAATGCCTTTTTAATCTGCTTGCTGTGATGCTGTTGTGTTTGTTGTTAACTCTTTTCATTTTAAGGATGTTTTTTAAAAAAAATATTACAACAAACCTATGTGGCTGGTACTAATATCCTAGTTTACAGAGAAGGAAACTGAGACACAGAGAAGGAAAATGATCCACCTGAGGTCCCCCTAATGAGTAACTTCCAGAGTCAGGACCTGACTTCACCTATGTCTGACTATAGGGCCCACAGTCCCAACCACCAATGTCTTTGGACATGATCAAGAAATTGCCTAGCTTCCCATTTGTAGCTGGAGATGGCGAAGTCATACAGGAACATGGGGTAGGGGAAAAATGAGATGTGTCCTCCTGCGAGGTTGGCTACGACTCCCCGAAACCCCGAACTGACATCTGTGGGTTTTTTATAAGTCCAGCAGGATGGTCCCCAGGAATTCTGTTCTACCACTCAGGTCAACAGGATCTCAGGAGACTGACCGGAGACTCTTCCCCCATCACCCCATGAAGAGTAGAGTCTTATTTCTTTTCCCCTTGAATCTGAGCTTAGCCATTGGACTACTTTGTCCAGCGGGATATTATCAAACACAGTATATGTTTGGGTCACACTCTCTTGCTCTTCTCGGAGCCCTGAAACCACCATGTGAACAAGCCAGAGTGAGCCAGGGGGAGGATGACAGGTTATGTGGAGGAGAACCAAAGGCCCAGGCTGACAAGCTGATCACTGCCAGTCATGTGAGTGGGGTCATCATAGATCATCTTGCAGACACAGCCGAGAACCCCTTAAATTTTGTGCCCAGGGCAAGTATCTCACTTGAGGCATTCTAGTTCTGGCCCCAAGACACAAGTCCCCTTTTCGCGTTCTGAGAAGATCTCTTGGGAGGCTGTGTATGTGGGTAGTACTCTAAATGCTGGGTAACTAGAATGGCATGTCTATGGAGGTACCAGAGACTTGGTCTCTCTACAAGGTCCAAGAGACAGCAGAATTGAGCGTTTCCAGCCAGGGGAGACCAAGACCATGCCTGCAGATGACCAGAAGTTAACACCCAAGAACTCTGCCATATCTTAAGGTCCTCCATTTGGCCAATGCCTCTATGTATTGTCTATTCCCATTTGCATGGATTGGTTGGGTCAGTAGCTGAAGTCACTGGGACAGAGCCTGGTTCATGAACTTTCCTCAGGTGGCCTGATACATCTAATGTGGACCTATCTGTAGAAAAACACCAACTACACAAAGTTCTACTAATGTCCGGAATATTCCCTGGCTCAGGCTGGGCTTCAAATAGCAGAGGGGGAGAAGATGGAGCCTAGCACGTTCTCTTTGCATAGATAGAGACCGTGCCTGCCTTCTCCATGAGTTCGTTGCATACCGGTTCCTCCAAGGTCACCCAGAAGGAGGGCATCCCTCCATGACTGTAGGAGTCTCACCCGCAGCCAAGCAAGAGCCTGGCCAGCTTGGTGAGCAGGTGTGGCCAGATCTTTAATCACGTCTCCAGCCATGGACAGGAAAAGGTCAATGAACTGAGTCAAGCCAGTTGAGGAGTCTGGACAAATTCTTCATCATTGGTGCCAGCTGACCGTCTTGGAACCGTGTCCAGAGTTAGAATCATTCCAAGTCGGCTGCCAAATCCTATGCATGCTGGCTGCGGGGAGTACTGCCCTCCCTCCCCAGCCCCAATGCAATGAATGGCGGGGCCGCTCCATTCATACAGACAGGGGTCTCCTGCCGCTTATGGAGCCTACGCACTCCTCGGAAGGCCTGCCAAATGGCAGGCAGAGGGCCTGCTAACTCTTCAGACTTACGTGGTAGCCATCTGTCCTTGCCACCTGCCCAACATATATTCCCTGTTCTTCATTATCACTGCCATCATCATCCTCAAATGCTTGGCTCTTGCCATGAACCAGATACTTTTATAGATATGGAGACACTGGGCACTCCTAACAAGGTTAGAAGATGGGGACTATGATTGTATCCATTTTTCAGCAGAGGGATCTCAGGCACAGAGAGTTAAGTACTTCGCTTTGCCCAAGGTCACACATATCAGAACCTAGGCAAGCTGGCGCCATCCACAGTCCATGATTTTAGCCAGTACACTCAGCTTCCCTAGTTCTCGGAGGGACCATGCCTCCCTGACTCTTAAAATCATGGGGTGGCCACATGGGGTTTCCTCGCCAGGGCGTAGGCACCTGACCAGACCTGGCCAATCAGCATAACCATCCTTCTGGCTCCAGGTAAAGTGCAGTATGATGATATGTTAGCTTTTGTCATGGATGAGACAGAAGACCATAGGTAACTCAGCCATCACCCTCCCTTAGGAGCAAAGCAAAACTTCCTAAAACTGAAACCAAGACAGGAAGCCTAGCCAAGGAAGGGAGGAAGTAAGTTCAGCACCTCGATTCACTGTGCCTGAAGCCAGTCTACCCTCGAGCTTTTCAGCTTCTAGGACCAAAAGTTTCCCTTTCCACATAAACCAGTTTGAGTGGAGTTTCTATCTCAGGTAACACAAAAAGCCAATGAACATAGACCAGATACAGGAAACACCATCCTCTTGGCTGCCGTATGAGACTCAAGTCTCGGGCTGCAGGAACCTTCAGAGCTCTGTAAGGGAGCCAGGCTGTCCTCCCAAACCTCCCTGCCTATTTTCCTGGGGATGAGAGACAGAATTACACTCTGTAATTATACTCTGTCTGTGGTCTCAGAGAACGCAGTGAACAGTCCCATCTTCATCTCTGCAAACAAGTCTGGAAGGGCTTTCATCATTCATGCTCCATGGGATCCTTAAACCCAAGTACCAGTTTCTAAGCAAAGGGACTGTCGTCCAAGCTCCAGAGTGTCCGTGTTCCTGTGATGACATTTATATCCCTGATTTGCAGTGAAAGGGCAGATGACCACTTACAGAAGGCCAACAACAGTCCACAAATGCAATGACAGAAGGCAGTCACCACTCACTTCTGGCAAGCTGTCTGCTGTCATGTCTAAGTGGGTAAGGACAGGACCAGTAATGAAGACCATGCCAATGCAGAAAATTCCAGAAAGGTGAGCCAAAGCAGGAACAAAATAAGAGAACCAGGGGTGACAGCTGCACATGGAGTCTGCTGAACGCAACTCATCACTGAGACAAGGGAGGAGTATGCATGGTGGAAAGGTCTACCAGGGCAGTTTCAGCAACGTGGACAAGAGTACCCCCCCAAAAATGAGACTTTACCAAGAGGAGCTTCTTATCTCACATATGCCGTCTGGGTATAAGAGAACTCACAGTGGGCTCAGCAGCCACCAATGTCATCAATGACTCGGGTTCTTTCAACTCTTCCACTCTGCCATGCTCAGGAGGCAAGTACATCTCCCTCATTAACGCAAAAGTGCTGCCACAACCCCATCCATTGCATCCTCACACGAAAATACCCAACAGAGAAAAAAAAAATACCCAACAGGAAAAAGGAAGGGATGTCCGCCCTCATCAGAAAGGGAAGTCTTTCTTGAAAGCTCTGCCCAAACTTCCCCCAAGGTCCCCCTGAGTAGGACTGGGTCACATGATCATTCACTAACTACAGGGGAGCCTGGGATGCAAGTATCATGCATTTCCAGCTTTTAGCATGAGAGGCGGCCTCTGCCAGAAAAAAGAGAGCAAGGGCTAGGAATGGCTGTTGAGGAGGTAATCAACAATGTACCACAAGCTTTGGACAAACTTAAACCAAGTTTTTTGCCATATCCTTATAGAGCCCATGGGGTCATTCACTTAAGAGTTTCCTTAAACCGGGGCACCTGGGTGGTTCAGTGGGTTAAAGCCTCTGTCTTCGGCTCAGATCATGATCCCAGGCTCCTGGGATCGAGTCCCAAATCAGGCTCTCTGCTAGGCGAGGAGCCTGCTTCCCCCTCTCCCTCTGCCTGCCTCTCTGTCTATTTGTGATCTCTCTCTCTCTGTCAAATAAATCAATAAAATCTTTTTAAAAAAAAGTTTCCTTAAACCAATTTATCTTTTGTTTAACCTGACTTTTACTTGGGTAGGAAATTTTCCTTCTCTACCATAAATTCAAAACCTACTAGAAAATCTACTAGATACATTTTTCTAATCCATATTAAAGTAAGTTCATACTGATTAAAATAAAACTTATTTGCCTGTTTTACCCAGAAGGATCCCCTGCCCCACCAACAGTAGCCAGGCTTTGGGATACATGGCAGCAGGATAAACCCATTTTCCTTCTAATTCTTGGGCCCTGGTATCAAGAATTTGCTAACAAAGAGCTGTAAAGTGCATCTTAAGGTACCACCCTAACTACCTTGTAAGAGCAGCAGGACCAATTTAGCATCTCACCACCACTCTCCATGCCCCTGCCGTAAAGATGAAGACATTTGGCAAAATCACGGTAGGGGAAGCAGCTGGTTTCCCATACCATCCTACCCCGCTCCCAAAATGTTTTGTTTTGTCCTTCCTGTTAAAATGAAAAAAGTCTCAGAGGCTGTAGGGACCACCCCATGTTTTGGAATAAGAACAGACCCTCCATTTGGGGGCAGTGGTCTAAGCACAGCCATCTTTACCCAAAAGGATGCACTGACCGTGGCTGGAGAGAGGGGACCAGTGCCCGTTACTTACATCAGAGGCTGGGCCTTTGTCGGCACCTGGGCAGGAGAAGGTGACGAATTCATGGCACCGCTTGTGCACGACAAAACAGCAGACTGCAAAAGAGAAAAGAAGGGTAGGAAGGAGGGAGGGAGGGACGAAGGCACGTGGGGAGGAGGAAGAGAGGGAATGGGGGGAAAGAGATCATTAAGCCTGGACTTCACAATAAGAAAGGTCTTACAGCAGAATGAACAATGGCTTCAGTTTCCCCACCTTGCCCTTTACGGCAACCGCACTGCTGTGGCATCCTACAAATCCGTTCAACTTCTAAAGGTTACCGGGGTTCAGAAGATCACAAATTAACTCAAAATTAGCTCAAAATTAACACCCCCCCTCCCCCAAAGATCCCTTCAGCTGTCAGGTCTTGTGCTGGTTTTGAAACAGGACGTGGTTTCTTAGATCGGCATGAAGTAACAGTCGGCTTGGGTTCAGGTCCAGAATGTACAAGGAGTGCATATATTTAAACACCAGAATCATGCTCAGAGAGACATGCATGATACGAAGAGCCAGGCAGAAAATCAGAGCGAGCAGGCATGGCAGACCTGTGCCCCTCTCTCACCCAGGAGCAATGCCAAATGACTGCAAGAGTGGAGGAAAAACCTGCAATATGTCTCTGTTACTCAAGTAGTTTGCAAACAAATACACCCATACATCTATTTGAACGCCAGTGAGTCAGAGGCAGCTAGGATATGGCTCCCCCACCTGGGAGGGGGGATTATACCGCATGGGGGGAGGGGAGGTCAGAGACTATATAGACTATATATATATATATATATATATTTTTTTTTTTTTTTAAAGACTTTATTTATTTATTTGACAGAGAGAGAGATCATAAGTAGGCAGAGCAGCAGGCAGAGAGAGAAGGGGAAGCAGGCTGCCCGTTGAGCAGAGAGCCCAATGCGGGGCTCGATCCCAGGACCCTGAGATCATGACCTGAGCTGAAGGCAGAGGCTTTACCTACTGAGCCACTCAGGCGCCCCAGTCAGAGACTATATTAAATCTACTTTCACTAAGTCTAAATGGTGGGATCCTGAAGGACACGTACCATGCTGTAGAACCACACAACCAACTCAGGATCTTTCCAAAGAACATTCTCAGCTAATGAAAACAGGCCTGGAAAGCTCAAGACTACGCCTCGAGAGACAAGGGACCTGGGCAACAATCAGTGGCTGCTAACATCACAAGAAGACTCGACCTGCCTACTGATCAAAGGACCAGGAAGTACTCCGCCACCTACGAGGTACTCTTGCTGAAGTAATCAAACCCGAATCGGTGCAAGCCTTTTGATCCAATTGCCAATTTACAGAAAGTGCAAGTGACAGAGGCATGTGTTAAATGACATCACAGGGAAGCAATCAGAAAAAAGGAAATTTTTTTTAGTACACAGCAATGCTCCCTCCTCTATTGTCCCTCTCCCTGCTCACACGTGTGCTCACAAACACTCTCTCTCTTAAATAAATAAGTAAAATCTTAAAAAAAATAATTTGGGGAGGCACGTAAGTGGCTTGGTTAGTTGGTTGGTCGGTTGAGCATCTGACTCTTGATCTCAGCTCAGGTCTTGATCTCAGGGGCATGAGGGTAAGCCCTGCATTAAGCTCCACACTGGCCATGGAGCCCACTTAAAAAAAATTCAGTATGACAGGAAGGAGAAAGGGAGGATTATAGCTAGAATAAAAATTAGTCGTGATTGATCATTACTTGAACCCGAGTGATGGACACAGGAGGATTATATACTAAGCTATCTACCTTAATAAATGTTTGGTATTTTCCACAATACAAAAATTTTTAAGTTCCCATGTTTGGAAACCAAGAAGAGGTCCAAAGGGCCAATTTCTTTTGCCTACGCTTACTCCCCTTTCTGTTTTAATAGCTACTGCATTTTGTAAGTTATATATGCTTTGTAAAAAGATATTTGTGTTGGGGTGCCTGGGTGGCTCAGTGGGTTAAAGCCTCTGCTTTCGGTTCAGGTCACGATCCCAGGGTCCTGGGATCGAGCCCCACATCGGGCTCTCTGCTCGGCAGGGAGCTTCCTCCTCTCTCTCTCTCTGCCGGCCTCTCTGTCTACTTGTGATCTCTATCTGTCAAATAAATAAATAAAACCTTTAAAAAAAGATATTTGTGTCAAATCGTGCACACATGTCCGTATGTGCGTGTGTGTGTGTGTGTATCCCTCTGTTCCTATAGGTCTATGAATCTTGAGAGAAATTTATGAACAGTGGTCAACAGAAGCCAGTGATGATTATCTCTGGGCAGTAGGATTGCCAATCATGTGAACCAGACCGATGACATCTGGACAAATCCGCCACGATGACAACTCTGTGACCTGAAGTCTTCTTGAACACCATCTCTAGCCTCGTTCTTTCTTTCTTGTCTAAACACAACCTCAAGTACATCACTGGAACATAATGTCCTTGATGTGCTCTGGAGATATGGCTATGACACACAACTATCCTTGAGCATCTCTCCCAGATATAATACCAACATGGACTCCCCGGCTTCTGGGGCCATTAAAACAAGTCCTATGGAGGGGTGGGGGTGAGGTAGAGATCTACTTGTCTTGCAGCCACACAAGACCTGCTTCTGTCCTTAAGTCACCTTACTAAATCATTTCTTGTCAAGCTGGACTTGGCCTTGTTCTTTGGAGGTCATTTTGCATAGAGCTCCCTTTCACAGCACACCCTTCATTTTCACTTTCGACCTTACATTTTTCTACATCATTCAAAACGTTTACAAGGAGTATAGACTAGTTACATAATCAGCTAGTTACATAATCAGCTAAAACAACCCTACTTCCATTTTGAAACAAAATCAAGAGTCAAAGGTAAACACAGGTCAGGGGATGAAAAATATTACTGCCCAATTTGGAAACTCGGGGGTTGGGCGGGTAACCAAATGGGCATGGCTAAAGAAGAACTTGGCAAACTGGAAGTCTAAATTGAGGGACTGTCCCAGAATTCCCCAAAACGGGTGGGAAGGAATCAAAGAAATGCTGCAAAACCTGTACACGAGAGCCAAAAATTTAATACCCATCTAAAAAGATTCAAGACAGAATAGTGAAGGTGTAATCAAAGGAAACAGAAAAAGGAAATTCCCTGAAGCTGAAGAAGAATTTGAGTCATTAAACTGAAAGAAATTATCAAGCATCCATAGGAATGAAGGAAGAAAAGAGTGAGGGTGAGGGTATCTGAGATCATTCCAACATGTCCAGCAGGGGCAGGAAGAGGACAGAGGGAAGATTATCAGCAACAGAACAAAAATAGTTTTTTAAATTATTTTTATTAACATATAATGTATTATTTGCCCCAGGGGTACAGGTCAGTGAATCGTCAGGCTTACACATTTCACAGCACTCACCATTGCCCATACCCTCCCCAATGTCCATAACCCAACCACCCTTTCCCTACCCCCCTACCCCCAGCAACCCTCAGATTTTTTTGTGAGATGAAGAGTCTCTTATGGTTTGTCTTCCTCCCGATCCCATCTTGTTTCATTCTTTCCTTCCCTATCCCCAACAACCCCCTGCCCTGCCTCTCAAATTCCTCACATCAGGGAGATCATATGACAATTGTCTTTCTCTGATTGACTTATTCCACTCACCATAATACCCTCTATTTCCATCCACATCGTTGCAAATGGCAATATTTCATTTCTTTTGATGGCTGCATAGTTTTCCATTGTATATATAAGAACAAAAATAATTTGGCATCAGATTTCTCCTCTGCAGTTCTAAATTCTAGAATATGATAGAGCAGTATCTTCAAAGGTTTAGGAAAAGTCATTCTGACCTAAAACCTCATACAAAGCCAAACTGGTATTCCAGAGAAGGTCCAGAGTAAAGACATTTCCAGAATACAAGGACTTAAAAAACTTACTTCCCACAAAAGAAGTGCTAGAGTATATACACCTCGCAAAACAATAACCAAAACAAATGAAAAGAGGTAGAAACAAAAGTGGTGAAAGAAAGGACAAAAAAACAAAGAGGGAGGGGTACCAGGCTGACTCAGTTGGTGGGCGCGCAGACTCTGGATCTCTGGGTTGTGAGTTCGAGTCCCCTGGTGGGTGTAGAGATTACTCTAAAAATTAAAAATTTTAATACACACAGGCACACACACACACACACACACACACACACACACAGGGAGAGGAGAGGGGGAAGAAACTAAGTCATAAGAAATGGGGGTGGGAGAAGGTCCATAACATGGAGATGCGCTAAGAGTCTTGTCTCATTCCTCAAGAGGTTCTAGATATTGAGAAACCCCATATAAGGCATTGTAAGTTTGAATATGCGTGTTAACCATTAAGAACAAAAAGGGCACGTAGGTGGCTCAGTCGGTTAAGCATCAGACTCTTGTTTTCAGCTTAGGTCATGATCTCAGAGTCATGGGATCGAGCCTAATGTGAGGCTCCCGCTCAGTGGGGACTCTGCTCAAGATTCTCTCCTCTTCTCTCTCTGCCCCTCCTCACCCATTTATACTCCCTCTCTCTCAAAAAAGAAAAAAAAAAAAGAGGATAGAAATATAATGCACACTACTAAAAGAAAAAACTGGACAAAGAAAACTCAATCCAACTACACTTCGAAAGGCCTTCCCACATGCCCCAATTTCATATAAATATTATTTTTTTTCTACTTTTCTACGGCATGACTTGCTCTTTAAATTCTTTAATCCATCTGTAATTTCGTGCCACCTGATGTGCACTGGGAATCTACTTTGCCACTTTTTTTTTTTTTTCCCGAATAGGTAATCAATTGTCCCAATACGTTTTATTGAATAACCCGTCCCTTCCCCACTGATCTCAAATGCCAACTTTATTATACCCTAAATAATTATATACACTGGGGTCTATCTTTGGGCCTTCTGTTCTGTTCCACTGCTCTGTCTTGGAGTATGGTAATATGGGTTTTAATTATAGTCGCTTTAGAATATGTTATATCTTGGCAGGGCAAGTCCTCTCTCATTATCCTTACTTTCAACATTTTCTTGGCAATCACTGCGTGGTTATTCTTCCAAGTGAACTCTAGAATCAGTTTACAAGGTTTTTAAAAATACCAATGGAA